AGCTCACCCTTGATTAGACATCAGAGAATCCACACAGGAGAGAGCCGCTGGAAACCAGGCTTCATTAGTTCCGCTGCTCACGGAACTACTTGTTAAAAAAAGCAAACAGAAATTCCAACATGTGGCATCATACTGACACCCATGTTGGTCATCAGCAATCTTAAGATCCACTGCACAGACCTCTGCCACTGCAGCTAGGATGATAAATGATAGCAATGGTAGTTTGTCACCTTTTTCTAGACTTAAAGGGGGATGAGGTTCTTTGCCATCTTCTTGTGCTGACATGAGAGACATGGCAAAATTTAGGAATATTGGGTTGAATATTTCTAGGCTTTGGAGGGAATGTGGTCAAACTTTCTGCCTGACACTTCAAACTTAATTCCCCCTTTGTCCTTAGCCTTCTAGCCTGTTGCAATCTCCCTCTCTCCTGCACCAAGACCCACGCCCAAGCTCTTTACCCACATGCCCCAGCCTCCTTATCCTCTACTGCCGTGGCTCTTCCCTGTTCCATTCTCCCAATTACCTAACATCTGTCTCCCCTCCACCACGCTTCTGTTTGTCTGTCCACATCCCATGCTCTTGTCCCCATCTGTTCTGCTAATTCTAGGTATCTCCTAATTTTCCAGCCCCTTAGCAGATCTGCCTCTTTCTTCCTCCCCTCAGTCTTGGTCCTTCATAGCTTATCTCTGTGCCACCTCTCCCTTGCAAATAGACTCCCCATCACATTCTCTGCTGCATTCCCTAGTTTGTAGGCTCTAGTCTTTTCTCTCTCCTCCTTCTCAGTTCTCATCTCTGCTCTACCAAGTTTCCAGACTTCCTGGACAAAAGCAGCTCCTGCCCATATCTCATTCTTGTCCCTACTACAATTGAACCAAGCGGTGTCTTCTCGCACCGTGCCTTTGTGCCCATCAGAGGGCGGAGGTTACTGTCAACACCAGGCACAAAAGACTCCCTTCTGAAGCAGAAGGAGCAGTTGTGACTGAAGGAAAAGCATGCTTGGCCCTCCAGTGCTAGTCTAGAAGACGCTTATTGTCCAGTGCTAGTCTAGAAGACGCTTATTGCTGCAGAGAGAATACACATGTAGTCCCATCTCATATAGAAACTGAGAGAGGTTAGAGTGCACTTATCTCTTCTGTGGAGATAGATAGTCTGGTCAGTGCCTGGAGTCATGCAAGCCTCAAGAAATGTCAAAGAGGATATAATCTTAGCATATTTCAACTACCAAACTACCAAAGCATCTCAGCGCATGCTTGACAGATTTTTTCCAAGCTTACAACTTGGCCAAATTTTACCATATTTTCACAGATATATGTGGCTTACAAAAGCCATAGTCATCAGATTTCAAATCTATTCAAAACCATAGGAAGTTCACCAAACAGCAATGCTAAATCCAGTATAGGGCAGAAAAAAGGCTTAAAATGAGACATGTCTGAGAATATACCCAACTGCTGTATTCAAACCGCTGGCTCCCCTTGTGTCCCTATTTCCTCACTAAAGGGGGCCTCCATCCAGCTTCTTCGCACTCTACAGCTCAACTCTGCTTCTTGCTAAGCCTTCTAAGGCTTTGGTACACTTTTTCACCCTGGATTTACCTCAGAAGCTTCCTATGTCTCTCAGCTGCTTATTGTCTCCCAAATCCCCTGCTGTCCCCTGCTGTTCCCACAAGCTAGTGAAAGTAGAACTCAGAACTAGCGGTGGGGAACAGAGAGCTTGTTGGTTACAGTATGATGGCAAGGCCCTTCTCAAGCCTACAACTTTTCTGTTGGTGTCCTAGGCTCCAAAGCACGGCTTGCAAAACCATTCCAGACTATAAACTGGTATTTGTCCTAGCCTTTACAAACGTAATACTGGAACCAAGCAATGCCTATAAAGAGCTCTCTTCCTCTTGCAAAGAAGAAACTATTTAGAGAACTGTTTGTCAGAGAGAGAGAACTGATGACCTGGCCCAGATAGGCTGAACCACTTCATCAGTCTTGTCCACTGATCACATCACACCACAAACTTCTAAAAGTGCACAGGTACAGGCACCAAAACAGTACAAAAAAACAATACTACTGTCTCCAGGACCTATGCTCGCTCTCTCTTCCTCAGCGCCTTTTTAAGTATTTAGAAGAAACCATGTGCTTCACACTGCCAGCATCTTTCTAGAAAGACTCTTGATGCCGATCTCATTTTCCACAGAAAAAAAGATGTCAGGGAAGATTAACAAAGAGCTGACAAAGAATCCAGACAAGACCGAAGTGACATTACTCATGAAGGAAAATGCTTCACAGGACTGGGGTTAGATGCTGTCCCCTGCAGGTGCAAGCATTCTTCTAATAGCACAAAGCAAAGCACCAAGGACTCTGCCAGACTAACCCTAAGGCTAGATGTCCAAGATCTGCAAGCAACACCATCATTAGCAAAAGCCTCACACCTCTTCTTACGAAGAAAAACATAGTCACAAAGATTCTTGCACCACTTTCACACTAGACTACTAATTCACTTCTAGAGATGATACAGCAGCAAAAGAGCTGCCATTTGCTGGAGCAGGAATCTCTACATTCAGTAGAAAATGGGATGAGCTGCAATACAAGTATCACCTTTGTGCTCCAATTCCTTCCAAGTTTGCCTTGCTGTGCTGCCCATTCAAGGCGTTACTCTGTCTTCACCAATACACTAGGAGTCAGAAATTAGGGAAATCAGCCACCTGCCCAGGCACTCAGGACAAGAGAGCTCAGAGAGCTCAAAAAGAAACTTGAAACCAAAAAATAGTTACATTTAACAAAATAATCCCAGGCTTTAGGAATTAGGTATAAAAAAAAAAAAAGAAAGGGTCATATTGATCAACATAGTACAACTCCTTTCAGGCATCTAACTAGATTGTCCTCAGTGTATCTTCATAAGAATCAGTGAAATCATACAAACGTAGACATATGAATACCACAAGCAACTCCTCCTTCAGCCTCAGAAAGGAACAGGGGTAGATGAACCTTACCCACAGCCTTAATTTAGCTAGGATATGTCTGCATACTGTAGTAACAGGAACTACCCATATCATCCTCTAGAACGCAGAAGAAACCCAGGAGTCCTCAAAGTTTAAACTTGCAAGTCTATTCATATCTATATTATGGAGAAACAATTTCATTGTATTTCACGAAAGTTTTCTCTCCCACAGCTCCAAGAGAAGATAGCATTTTCCTTTATTTTTTCAACACTTATTTTTAGTTCCAAACTTGCATATGGAAAGCATCAGCCAAAGAGAAGATCCCAAGGAGGGCAGAAGTACTCCTTGGTGGTCTTCAGTAAATCTCAATTTAGCTATCTTGCACCTTAGCTCTGCTCAGAGGAAGGCCTGCTCGGGATGGAGGCTGGAGGAAGAGGCAGAGATATCACACTCGGATTAAACATGAAGACAGGAAATCTTCCTGATTACATGTTCCTACATATAAACTCATTCGTTTTTTCCTGCAAAGTCTTTTTCATGAGCTGTTACACAGACTTTGCGTGTTCATAAAGTTTCTGCTGAGTCACTCCACCTGGTCTTGGGCATTTTTTTTCCAAACTTACAAGTAAACAAGGAACTATAATTAAAGCCTTGGTTCAGCTTTAATTCTAGTGTTCACTGCCAATTGTGTCCCCTGTAAATACATATTTAACAGCCTAATTAGCAACCCAGACTGTAAGCAGCTTGAGTAGTGTGGAATTGTGGCTAAGGCCCAAAATAAATGGTGGGATTACAAATAGCAAGCTACCTAACACTCCCACCCCTCTTCACCATACGCTGATTATATTTTCAAAGTGGAAGAACTGGGACATTGGGTAAGAGAATAAAAATGCTGATGCAAGCTCTGGTTTTGTACCCATTTAACTGTATTGATTTAAAAATGTAAACATTTTTTAAATGCTATAGTTAAAAATGAAACAGTGCCTGGGGTGGATGCACTGACTCTGTGTAGATGCCTTCACATTGTTATGACTTAATTCCAGAAACATAACTAAATCTGTACAAAAAAAGGAGGGTCTAGGATGGTTAAAGGGAAAATGTTTGAGACAGGATCATGGGCACATAGTAGGGAAGTGAGAAGAGTTAGGGACCATCTCCTATTTCTGTTTCCATCTGGCTACTACTTTGCCTCTTATTGATCTTAATCACCCCTCAAAAACACCTGTTTACTTAAATACCCATAACGTGCTCCTGCTTCCCAACTAAGACAGACCATCATATTTCCTCCCTAGCACTTGCCTGGTCTGTCCAGTTCCCACCTTTTCTAAAACACCCACATTCCTTATCCTCTGGTTTAAGTATTCCCTGCTAGTTAATCTCTCCCTTTCCCACCACTCACTTGTAAACTCAAGCCACATCCCTCCAAGCTCAGAAAGCCAACCTCAGGGCTCAGAACTCTCCGCCCTCTTATCTGATACCCTTAGGGCTCAGAAACACCCTTATACCTAATTCAAAAATACTTTTTTTTTCCAGTTTTGTTGGGAATGCTGAAATAGAAGATCACAAGGGGCAATGCACACAGGAGCAGATACTATCACCACAGTTCACTTCCTGCTCTGTGTGCCTCCAGTTTGTAGTCTTTACACTGGACAGACTGGAGTCCTAATTTGGGGCATCCGGGTACACTAGGGCTCTCAGCTACACCAGAAGTGCTCCAGTTACACCAGACAGTACTGCATTCTGCAGTTACTACCTGGCTGTGGCATCAAGGATATGGTTCAGCCTCCATAACATCCTGGTCATTAACTAACCTAATAACATTAACATCTGTATATTCAGGAAATCAAGGTTGTCCACTAAGAAGGAGATCCTTAGTTTTGGGTCAACCCACCAGCTTGAAAACATTCCTGATTCGAAAGAAAACTCAACCCTTTCTGCAGCTGAAAGATTCCCTACTGAGGGACTCTACAAGGAAAAGGCAGAGATCTCTTCTTCCCCATGTAACCCTCTGAAGGGCTAAATACACCCCCATCCCCATGCAATGTTACAGTCAAGGTTTAATGCCGCTCCCCACCTGTACGTCTTGCCATCCTTGTGCTGGTCCTCATCATCCTCGTTTGACAGCACAAAGGGATCACTCATCTCTGGCAGCCCCGACTCCTGCAATCGTTTCTTCTTCCGGCCCCGGGGTGGTTTGGGGGCAACTCCCCCACCCCCGCCACCCCCACCACCTTCGGAGAGGGTGGTTGTCCCTTTCTTGGACAGGTCAGGAACCACCTGGAGGGCTGCCTGGGAGCCAGGGGGTAGCGCAGAGACAATCATGGGAGCTGAGATGGGAAAAGTTTGGGCAGAGGAGGCTGTGGTCACCAGGGAACCTGATGGGGAAGTTATCACCAGACCAGGACCTGCAAAGAAGGAAAGATGGAGGAAGTCAGTTATTACATCTCTAATTACGTCCAACCTCCTTATCCCACAGAAGCGAGCTTTATGCACCTACTTTTGATTACAACCCAAACAGAAGAGTAGCCTACACGTTCCCAGTCTCCACTGCTGGAAGTCAAACTTCCATGAAGAGGGTGGATGTATGGAGTGCCTAGGGATTCACAGTGAAACGGTGCCAAGGCAGTCCATGCCATCAGTAAGGCTAGGAATAATCTAGAGCCCGAAAAGGATTCTCCAGGACCCTCCGCCCCCCCATCCCAGAGTCTCCTTCATATGTTGCCAAAGTCTTTGGAGTCCCCTACCTGCTGTCATGAGCCCAGCAGACTGCACTGGTACCACGGTGATGTTCTGAGTCACAGGGGCTTGGCTGTGGGGTGTCAGCTGCTCCGGCTTGGTGTCTGAGTCCATGGAGATACCAGTAGGTAGGGCCACAGAGGTGGGTACTGTCAGCAAGGCAGGGTAGTGGGGGGGAGCCAGGCTGCAGCCCTTCTCTGTGGGCAATAGCTGCTCCTTCATCTTGTTAATAAACATGGTGTTCTCAATCTAAATGGGTGGGAAGAACAGCATTTAGAATACCCTGGCACAGCTTCTCCTAGGAGTTGGCTGAGCAAGAAATGCAACAGAAACACTTATCATGCATGAACTTCTCACAGGAAGCAAGACCAGCGTAATAGGTGGGAAGACAAAGATCTTACCTGTCCCGAGACGGTGGGCACTGCTGGCCAGAAGTACGGGGAGGAGTTGAAATGAGATTCTTCCATCCTAGCTGGGCACAGGGGGGAAGAGGAAAGGGGAAGGGAAGAGGAATGGAGGAGAAGGAAGACAGACAGACAGACACACACACACAAAAAGAACATTAAACCCAAAGAGACTCCAACACGGAACTGACTCAGTCTAACACTGTGACAGTTCCTTAATCTCCCCTTTCTTACTTGAGCAACTTCTCCCCACTTTTGAGCTATCTGCCCAAATCCAAAAATTATTTTCAGGGGAAAAAGGTGTCTGCTATTCCCACAGGCTTGGGTCCATCTCAAACGCCTCTTGCCCAACAGTCCTCCATGCAAAAAAAAGAACTGACTACAAACCCAGAACACCTCCAAAACTACCCAGTTATCATCCACCCAAGCACATGGCATAAATGATGAAGTCTGTGCATCTGCAACCAGGCAAATACAGCTGAAAACAATTTTTCATTGTCACAGACAGTCTGACCCCACAAGCAGTGACAATTTTGGACCCTGCCTGTCCCTCCACCCCAGCTCAACACTAAGGACCCAGATGCAGCAAGGGGACATTAGCATTGTGTTACACAGGAAGAAGGACAGGCAGAAAGAGGGAAACAGACTTGCCCAAGATAACAGACAGCCACAGCAGACCAAGAAGTCAAACTTAGGGCTCCTAACTTCCTGCTGCCCACTGCTCTGACCACCCCAGCCTCACTCTTGGAAGAAACCCGGAAATATCACTCAATATTCCTGACAGACAAGATCCTCCTCTCTTATCCAACGAGACTAGGCCGCGGGAAAACACCTGACTACCCTGCTCCTGAGATACCCTATTTCCAAGTGAGATCATGTAACGGCTCTCTATTGCCCATTTTACTCCCATCTTTAGGACAAGATTCTGTAGGACTCTGTCCCCAGTCAAGTGCCTACTGCTCCATCTCAACTCTCCATGCAGCCAGAGGACCAGTTAGACACCAAAAGATAGCCCTCTGAAGACAGAGGCATAATATCTTTAGGAACACCCAGCTGAAGAAGCCCTTTCCATTCCAGTCCTTACATTTCTCTGTGTAATAGCATTAGTGGACAAAGTTTATTACACTCGTGAAAACGCTATTAAAAAACTAAAGAAATTCACAAAATTTTTTGAAAAGCAGTAGATGCATCCATTCCTGAACAAATATGCCAAAACTGGTTGGTAAAATACATGTGGTAAAAACTATGCTCAGAGAACATCTGGCAGAGCAAGCTGCTTAGAGAAAGCAAGCACTGTAGGTTTCTCATGCAGCTACCTGCAAATTGTCCCACTCCTATTTCTGTTATGATGTGGCAGTAGTCTAATGAGTAAATATTGTTCCTGAAGGGCCTATCTCAATCATCAGATAAGCTGAGGAGCATGCCCCGAGTAGCATGAAACACTTACTTTCCAGAAGTATATTAGGGCAGAATAAATACCTGTGGAATTGCTGCGTGTGAGCCAAAATGCAAAGATAATTTTCCTCTATGTAGAGAAGCAGTATTTAAATGAACCAAATTACCTGATAATTTTGGTTTTATGAATTGCTTACGCAACAGCAAAGCCAAGTATTCCCGCCTCACTCACTCACTACAAATCAACCAATAAACACCCTTAAGGATGAATTATTTACCTTGCATCGGTGGCATGCAGTCAGACTGCTAGCTGCCTGACTGAATTACTCTGGATTTACATTGCTGTGATTCAATCAGAATCTGATGGGGCAAGACTCTTACCTTCCTTCCTCTGCTTTCTTTTCTGAGCCAAATTAATTATTAAGTACACTGCCCACAGCAAGGCCCTATGTATGTAACACTTAATTACATGACTTTTTTCTTCCACAGGTTGGACACACATGAAGAGATAACGCATTCTTGGCAATCGAGCATCGCCTGAATCAGGAGGGGGGTTTTGTTTGGAATGTCAAGTTTGGGTTTGGGGTTTTGGGGGGTTTTGTCTGTTTGTTTGTTTTTGTTTTTAAAATAAGTAAGCCCTTATTTGCTCAGCTTCCACATCAAGAACATCAAAGTGAACCTGATTTTGTAAAAACATGAAGTCTCATATAATAATCAGACGCATTTTCCAAATAAACTTTGTAATTGCCCAAGACTCCCCTGGATTCAACTGCAAACTTCAGGAGTTAAAGAGAAAGATGCCAATTTAAACAAAAATCTCACAACAGCTGTCTTATTTAAAGAGTACAAGGTATGAAAGGCAACTCCATTTCCAGATTCTAAAATCCAGACTAGCACAGGTGAGGGCACTCAACAGCTGCCCATCTCCATCTAGTCCCCACCAGTACTTCACAGAGCACCTAACTTTTGTTTGTTTAGTTTACAAAGTGTGCAAGTCAAAATAAGGCTCTTATTGATTCTCAAAAGATGACTACACTGTTTTCGTTAAACTCTCTTAGAATCCACCTCCCCATCCAAAAATCTTCATGCTTGAGCAGATATCAGGCCTCAAAACTTTTGGCTTGAAAGGCTGAAGTGTGATGAAGTTAGAAGAATGTGGAGGAAAAGGAGAAATGGTGTAAGAGTTGAAGCTTTCATGCAATCTCACTAGCAAGCCAGTCTTCCAAAGGGAGAAAACAAAGATAAGATTCCTCCACCAAACTGCTGCCCTAATACCCACAGCTGTCCCTCCCCTACCCCGCTTTTTAGGCTAAAGGATATTTTGAAAACATGCACCCCTATTCGCAGCCCCCACTTTAACGCTGCTCACACTTACTTTACCAGAACTCTGCACGTAACCCTTCCAATTGCTCTATAACTACCAGACATGGGCTGGAGCTTCAACCCTGTACCACAGCACGTTCCCACTGCAGTGCCTTCATCATCCCAGCTTCCACAAACAGGCCAGAGATGGGACCTTCTTCCTATTCACCAGTCTAGTATCAGACAGATGTCAACGTACCCTCCTGATACAAACCAAAAACACCTTCTATGTACAGACCACAAATTTACATACACCAAATAAACAACCGAGTGAACCAGAGAACTCACAAGGGACAAGGAATCTGGAGCTTAGATCTCAGAGTACTTCACAGAATCACATACTTAACATGCTGGACTTATACTTCTTTGCAGGTCATCAGTTTAATCATAAACACACAGATAAAAGCATGTGCAAGTATACGGTGAGGTAGAGGCTGTGTTTCTGGAAGGCACAATCAAGGTTGGATATGCAGGTATTTAGAGGTTGACTTTTAATATGGTTTTCTTTATTCTCCAGATACCTAGCTTTTATTTTCTATTCGGTGTAGAGTTTTCAGTTGACAAAAGGCCCTGAGTATGACACTTGGGAATGATTTACAATGTCATTTTATGTCTGCCCAAGATCTTTGTTCAATAACAAGGAGCTTTTAGGCTTAATTGCTGCAAAATACTACTACTGAAGGCCACGCAGGCTATTGGACCAAATGCAAAAATGCCTCCACGAAGCTCATAAGCACCAAAAAGTTCAAGCGCTGCTACATCTTTAGGACAAGCACATCTGGATGCACATCAGCAATACCCCAAACATGCCGGACAAAGTCCTGAATCCCAAACCCGCACACCAGAGCTAGAACAACTTTGGTGCTGTTCCCTGACACATGCGTAGCCTCCACCCCAACCGATTCAGCCTCTGTCGGAACAGGTGCCGGGCAGGGGACATTCCTCCTCCTTCCAGGCAGTCAATCCCCTCTCCCGCACCCTGCAGCTCAAGTGACTTCAAGCCCCCAACGCCGGGACCTGCGGCCCATCCCATCCCGTCCCGTCCCCCCCGTGTGGCTGGAGGGGTCGAGGGGCGGGGGTCACTCACGCAGCTCTGGGAGCTCCTTACCCCTCTCACTCTCCCTCCTCTTGCATTTCTCCTCCTTCCAGGGCCGGCTCTGCAAACAAACCGCCAGGGTTACGGGGGCGCCCGGGGCC